TTGAATAATGTTTTTAATACTTACATTTTTTACTTTATACCATGTGGAAATTGGTTATTTTTTCGTATTTTTTTCAAAATTCTCTATTAATATATTGTCCTAAACGAAAATTCTGGGGAACAAAAATGGTCTGTGGCGGTAGTTCTAATAGTGACATTGGATGTTGATACCACTATTCAACCTCATGGGAGCCCATTCGGCCTATCCTCTGATTTGAAGGCGTTTCGACTTGCGCGACTTGAACGTGAATCGTGATGGATTTGAATGACTTGAATGCTTTCGTATTTTTACGTCGGATGATTACAGGAACTCAATTCATCGTAAGCCCACAACCAAGCACTATGTTCTTTCTACCTGCACTTGCGTTCTACCTGCACTACCCGTTCTGCACTTGCTACCTTCTGAATAATTTTAGATATTCCGTTAAATCTACACCGAGAAAAAAAACTTTGATTAATTACCTGATTAACAATGTTCAATATGAACTGTCAGTCAAAAGTACCTATACATGCATTCCGTCGATGCGACGTCTCTTATAACCCTCTAAGCACAAACAGCTTTTAAAATCGAACTTCGTATGTACTCAAATTAAAGAAAAAGAGACTAAAAAGTGAGTTTTTGGGCATTATCACATTATCACACACCTCTTCATACGGAGATATGAGATCGTCACTATGTATGTTTTGCACCGCCCGCTGTTGTTAATTGGAGAAGTCTAATTGTCTTCTTCTGTATTATCTTCGAGACCGGCAAGAAAAAAACAGTTTTCTTTGGACATCGGTCTGATGTTGCAACATTTCTACTAAATGGTCTTCTTTTTTCCCATTGACGACCAAGGCTCCGCCCTCCTGTTTGTCAAGCTCTTAAATACCGAGGACATGCATCACTAATCAGTATAAAATATTCGTCAAAAATAAAAATAACAGCAATAGTAAGACATTTTATTATCTACAGTGGAAAAAAAGTCAACCTTAAGTGCATCTCTTCACGGGGAAAGCAGTTTTAGGGGATAACCTCTAAAATTGTGGTATACTACCCCAATTTTTTGGATGATATGGCCATTTTACATGAATTGTGGTCGTACCGCAACTCAAGGTGGGGTTTCAATAATTCAATATTTGGGTTAGTAACATGAGTCATTGGGGTACCACCACAATTAATCATCCAAAATCCCCGTGCTCCTGTTTTTCCGTTTTTAGCGATCGTCCAAGTAATCTTTTTCCAAGGGCCGTCCGTTCATACACATTTTCACTAACCTCTCCTCGTCTATCGTCGTCTATCTCCTCGTCTAGTGGACCAAATATATTTGGTCCACTAGACGATGCGTGGTAAAATGCTTGAAACATCGTTCCTCAAGTCCGAATTTTTTGGAATTTGCCATACAGTGAGTACATTAATTTGGAAAGGTTATCGTGCTCAGAAGGTCGAATTGAACATTGTTTGAAATGAATCAGTGAGAACGAAAACACACCAACTCGGTACCTCAAAAATGATCTCTTTTCACTAAGGTCAGACAATTTTCATAGAGGTAATTGAAGTTACCGCATTTGTCCCGTATTTGTAAAGTTTCCTTAAATATTTAATTTTAGGCACCAAAAATCTTTTTCTTAGACTAACTTCTTCACCTGATTTGCAGTTTTGTGTGTGTCCTGATTATTTTCATTTTTTCGAGTCTGTGTTTTCGTTCTCACTGATTTAGATACCAACGAACTTTAAACCAACTCTAGACTTCTTGGCTTTGCGCGCAGGGTCCTTTGCGCCAGCCGCGGGAGTGCGTCGAGGTCACGAGGTCGCCAGCGAAATGTCACCGAATCGACCTGGATTCCGACGCGACGAGGCTCAGGATCAATGGCAAGTCGGAGAGACCTCCGCGTCCAGGCCCAGGAAAGGAGTGCGCTAGGTAAGCGGCGCCTCAGCGATGAGATAACAGCCCCGGCCCGGCGCCCCTAACCATGGTCCGCGGCGAGGCATCTCGATTCGATAATGAGTTGGTCATGAATGGGAGAGCGACGCGACGGCCGTAGCCGCGAATCCGAATCCGGCACACGCTCATTACACTTTCTCCGGGCCGCGGATGAGTTTCAAGGCCGCTCACTCCTCTCTCCTCCCCTTTCTCCCGGTCAGGGAGGGGGGGGGTGTTACAAAATAGTTCAAGATCAAGCCACTTGCGCTCGGGGATTATCTAACACAATCGTGTGATGCAATGCCACCACGCGGTGCCGCACAGTGGATCCAGTCAATCAAAGATGAAATTTTTGACTCAAACTGCCAATTTTGATGTTTGTATCGTCACATTTAAAATTTCAAGGGGTGTTTCTGAAAGAGAATTTTACGAGGAAAATAATGGAGCCACTTTTAGGAACCCGAACGTTTGTATGAACGGAGTTATGAGCGTTTAAAGTTCCCAAATTATGTCCGACCTCTCCTGTGGACTCGATCCACTGTGCGCCGGTGCCGATGCCCGAGAAAGTGTGCCGGGTGCCCGTCGCGATGCCATGATGCCGTCCTAAGTCGAAACGCTTTAAGAGAATTCCGACGTTATCAAATTTAATATCACATGACCTGAATTTTCTTAGAAATATAAGGATCTATTTATTTCGATTTTTAAGAGCATTTCGTCAGAGATTCGATCTATCTGAAGTACCTAAAAATTTCAAGGAAAAATATCCAAAACGATCTTACAAAAGGAATATTGTGCTGAGGGATATTTGGCGACGTGGGGCAGTTGATACGGCTTTGCAGGACGGCGCAGCGCCACCGGCTAAAAGGAGGCGTCGGATATTTCAGCTCGAATAAATACCGGTTTTACCACGACCAGAGGGGCCATCGGCGACCCACTGCAATTCCCCCGCGCTGGCTGCCTGCATTTTTTTGTCCCGGTCTCTACTTGGTAAATCGATTACTCGAGTGATGTCGTCAGTTTAGATGGAAGCATACCTTTCAGGCGCACCTCCTCCACGACTTCAAAAAGGTCATTTTTTGCAATTTTTGGCCTTTATACACCCCCCCCCCTCCGACCGGCCCGAAGATGTGTTTAACTTCTCGACTGGTGGTGAACCCTCTTCGAATAATGTTGATCAACTTTGGTCCTCGATAAGAGAGGTTTGGTCTCTGAAAGATTCAGCTAAAGTGACAGATCTAATAAAACTGATCCGTGAGGTCCTAATGGAACTGAGGGCATAAGCGCGCTACGCTGAAGTTACAAAGGCCTCCAAATTTTTTCCTTTGTTTTCTATTTTTTTTGAAAGCTGATCCATTGAAACAGTTTCTTCAAAGGTGGATGAGCACATCAATATAAGCGGATATGTCAACTTTCCTTTGAAACCGTAAAATGTTATTAATAACCTTTTACTAATCTACTCAAAACTATTTTGATTTTAAAGTGTGAGGCCCGTGCAAATCACAAAAGAATTGACAAACACAAACTGTGTTATTTTTGACTAAACAACATTAGAGAATAACTTAATACGTTGAAAGAACCTATCATTAGACTGTCATTGCAACCGTAATTACACTTCATAAATGTGTTGAAGTCATTGATCTGCAACAGAGAGCCCTCTTTTATTTTTTTTTACAGGTTGATGATATCTTTAGGCAGTGGCGTAGCGTTCTTTGCGATATATCTATTGATCTGCCTTTAAACCTATGGAAAAAGATCGATAAACACGGTGTTGGCAACGAACACCATTATAATCGATTCTTTATCATAGCTTTAAATGGGGAGATATCGATAATCGATAATCGATCATTCACGCCTCGCCACTGCTTCGGAGAATCTCGATGATTCAACATATCCATGGCTCAAGAATCTAAACCAAAATCACCAAATTCCTTCGACGGAAACAAAATTAGTGGAGGCTGCACGGTTAGTGCTCCTTCGAAGGTGTGTTAATGCGTCTGGATGTGGAGCTCGCGATAGGTGTTTCATCAGTACGGTATCGGGGAACAAAATCTGAACCAGATCGTACATGCCAAACTGAGATAATGGTTTAATTATCCATACTCACGCCTAACTAGGGTACTAGTCGCACTCACCTTTCAACGATGTTGCCAAAGCAGAGATAAAACTCAAAGCGTAACAGTGAATTCGTTTATTATTCCCGAATATCCACGTGAAAGCCTTTGTAGAAGAGGACCAATTGACAATTTTCTAAGAAATTGTTTTCAAGCATAATAAAATTCAGAATTTTTGGTATAATAACCTGTTCTGGTAACTTTACCGCTTGGCGACGGTGGAAAGCTGCCCTAGAAGTGATACGCGGATACCCTGTGAGTGGGTATTGTGATAAATTTGCCAAGTGAGGCAATGGCTAACTAGAAAATAACGTCACATGTTCTTTTTTTCGAAATATTGCTCTGAAAATGATTCACAAAGCAGGGAATTTGGAAATCAACTCTTGAACACGAAACACAGATCAAGTGGAAGTCCACAGGTCCATTGGTAAAAAAAAATTACTGCGTTTTGAGATCGTTGAAGTTTTTTTTGCGTTAATCTGGCAACAAATGGGTGCATGAGCTTCGAACGTGCGTTGAGCACAAGATCATTGCGCAAGTTTCTCTAATCAGAGTGCAAAAGAGCCACCGATTTCAGCCTTTACAAAACCGCCGTATGTTGAACGACTTTTGAAGCTTCACTCTCCCAATGGTGCTGATATACAGACTGAGTGATTTAAGTTGCATTGGGAATAAATTACTAATGCATACCAGAAAATGGGTACTAAAGGGGCACGGTCAATGAGAGAGCGAACTTGAGTAAATACATGTTTGCAATTGACAGTGTTGTTATTTGCATAGCCTTTAATTTGAAGGCACTTTTTCTGAACTCCCATTTTTTCTTGATTTCAGCATTTCAGACGTAAGGGATACATCGCCTTCCTTCTTTTACCGAGCAAGCACTCTCGACAAAACATGGAGGGTCGATTATGCGACGATCATAGTCATTTTTCAAATTTAACCTCGTGAAAAAAAATTACAAGTTGAGAAGAAAATACGATACATACCTCCCAGAGCATTGTGGCACTAAATAAGACTTGGGCAGCATTGTAAATAACCAGAAGATTGTTCAATTTGAAAGGTTTCCTATTTGCCATCAGTCGAGGTCCAAAAAATACAGCTACATATAAATAGGTCACCACCATTGCCAAAGTGGGAATAGGACTATCCATGAGAGGCCAACTGCTGACTCGAGGGTCTGAAACAAACAAAAGTTAACTTTCCACTTTATTGTCTTTAAAAAAAATAAATACAAATGAAGCTATTCTATTTACATGATTATCAGCAAGTATATCGTGATAATGTTGAAAATGAAGATGAAGGAACACAATGTCTGATCGGTGAATTGATTGTAGAATTTCGTTTCGTTCTTACAGCCAGTTAGATTATGGAATAGACTGAATTTGTTGGGTCGGCACTTGTTTAAAAGCATGGAACTTTTTTGCCAGAATTTATTATGCAGTCCTCTTTCCTAATTTTAAAATTTGTCGCCTTTAACTTTCCGTACTTCGAATTTAAAACGACTATCCGAGAAGGATATTTTGGAATTCTATAATTAATCACAGATCTCTTTTATTTTTTAATGAAGGTCATTTATGCAAAAATGTGAAAAACTATCTTCAAATTTGCACAGGCACACAAGGAGGAAGAAAACTATGATCTATCAATTCTCCATTATGATGTGCTCATTTCCGTTTTAATTGGATTCCGTCTTCATAATTCAATTCCCTATTTGGCCAATTCCTCATTTTTCGATTGGCAGAGAGAGGTCATGGCGACACTAGGCAAGCACTCAAATCCATCACGACACAGGACAGGACGGAGGACCACTCAAGCAAACCTCATTTGAAATAATTAGACCCAATTAAAGTGGTCGGTATGATAATATTGCCAAAATTCAACCTTGGTGTGGGTGGCCAGGAATGTCTCGCTGTCTCGAAAACTATGATCGCAATTCCATTACAGAGGCTCCTGTGCCGCTGTTCAATAGTACTTATCTGGACTCCCTGCATCTAGATTATAAGCGGATTTGAACTTAGCATTGTACTCGTTACTGATGCGTTGCACTGACATATAAAACGAATTTTAAGCCGGAGATACGAACTATGAAAAATTAAAAGATCGTGTCACGGCAGATAGACTGCGGCACCTTGACCATGGTTATTGTCATGTTGCTGCGTCAGGCGTGGGGGAAAATAACAATGCGTTGTGCGTGTGTCTCGCTAATCATTAGTTCACACGTAGATCGGTTATAAAGGAGTTAATTCCGTCCAAGAAAAGAGTTGCTTCCTCACTTTTTAACTCCCGTTTCCGATGAATTTTTCTTTATCTCTTGCTTCCCTCTTTATCCATTTCTCTCCTGGAGTTAATAATTAATTCAAAGACCCACCCCCTCTATTATTCAACCCCTTTCCACCCTTATTTCCCTATTTACCTGAAGGAGTATTGTGCCGAGCAAATTGCTCTCTTAAGGCAGCCAATATAGAGTGCCTTCGTTTCGTCTGTTTAGGCAACATGCACAGCTTTTAGTTTGAGAAACTACCAGGTCCTAGAAAATGAGGGCTGGATAGGTGCGTTTTAAAACTTGTTTACAAAATTTAAAAGCGGGTTCAGGAAAAGGCCTCTCGCAGTGAAAATTTAGCACACTTCTTTCAAAAGATCACTTCAACATCTTACGCCCGCACCTCTCGGATTTGTATTGCCGCACATACAAGTATATACATAATATTGATATTTCTTAAATCAGGACTCGAAATGTCTACTTAGAATTGAATTCTGACAACACAACTTCTAAAAATCCACCTTATATCTTTCTAAGGCAAGTTTCTCCCATTGAAACACAAGCTCATGAACGACGATTGCAGCCAGATTTCAGGACAATTGAACTACTATTGAACTTGTATTGCGAGTCTTGCTCATGCTTCATTTTCATACGTTTGAAGCTATTCCCTGTTTTTGTTCGATGACACCAATTGAATTTGAGAGATTTACACCGTTAAATTAAAGATTTAAGTCATTAAATCTATCAAGAAGGATTACTCCACGGACCAATTTTCAAAGTAGCTGAATTTGGAAAAAAAACACACACTCACTGGAAAAAAACACATTGGATCTAGATTCCAGACTCTTGAAAACATTGACAAGAAAAAGGACTCTTGATTCAATCAGATTTAAGCTCAAATCAAAAGGAAATCCGCTCAAATTAAGAGGCTTGGTTCTTGATTTAAGCTTAAATCTGATCGAATCAAGAGTATTTTTTCTTGTCGATGTTTTTAAGAGTCTGGACTCTAGATCCAATGTGTTTTCTTTTCCAGTGCTGAAAGATTGAACAAATGAAAAACATTCATTTCAAGCTTGGTGCATAAAATAGCTTTTCACCGGAAAAACTAGGCGGAAAAATACGGTGACCTTTTCCATAGTCGGGAAAGCACCAACGTAAGGTCAAGTCAACGTAACGGGTTATATGAGTGTCATGTTGAGTCAGGGTCAATCGATTCGTATCCGACGCGCACGAGTCTGTAAATGCCCGTTATTGACACAACTCCTCCAACCATCTCATTAACATGCACCGCAATTAGCGACAAATAATTAGGAATAAGCCGAGGTAAAAAGTAACCAGTTCTCTACCATGCACTTGTTGAACATCGTGTGTCGATTCACCTCCTCTCTCATCACCCACTGGGGGCAAAATAGATCTAACCAAATGCTTAGAGCAAAATTAAAGATCATCGATTAAAACACTATGACTGGTATTTTGGCAATGGTGGAAGCTTTTACTTTTGAGACTCTTCAACTGTTGATCTACCTACTACGTGGATGTTCAACAACGTGTTGAGCATTTCGATCTGCGAACAAACCGAAGTTTGGTAAACTTGTTTGGCTCATTACGTCACCCAAAGCTTATCATCTACCGAATAGGGAACATGCCTGTTGCTGCCTTAATTGTCCATTGGGAAGTGCTGCGTTTCCGATAGTACGTCTGATTATATGTTTAGTAGTGTGATCTTCCTCAATGAAACAAAGCGAAACAAAAGTGTCTCCTTAAATGGTTAGGGACATGGGACAATATTCTTGCAGATTTTCACCGCTCATCATGATTTTGAGATGTGTAAAAAATTAAGCATGAAAGCTTATAATCCTTGAAATGGAAAGAGTGGGAGAGCTTCCGTTCCGCAAGGTTGCATGCCCTAAACGCATTTTGACAGTGTGCGCAACACACATGCTGCCGTGCTAAGGAAAAACGCCGTATGAACATTCGAGAGTTGCTAAATTTCCCTTGGTAAAACATGTATTTTTGACGACATTCATGCACATTTTTCTTTGACATTTTCGGATATTTTATATTAAATTAATTAATCGCCTACAAAATTGCATGAAAACTTTGGAAAGAAATCTTCACGATTTTCCCAGTGAATACGGTTTTTATCGAAGGAAACTTGGCAACGTCGGAAGGCTCATACGGCGTTCTTCCTTAGCACGGCAGAACACACATACTGTTCGCGGCTACCGTTGCTGATTGCATGCCTGAATTCGCCACTGCGACGCCGACTGCCTGAAGGCGAACGAATTATCATTTACTCCATCTTAAAGCGGTCAGTTTCAAATAATTATCTCGCAAGACACAAAAACCCTCCTCATCTAAATCCTCGATATCGTGACTTAACTCAATTCATGGCTCTGAGCAGCTTCCACCCTGAAATTTAAGACGCTCGCGAACGCACGCTCTGCAAACGTCCAAAAATTCTTGAAAAATGAATTCGGAAGAATAGTGATTTGAAAAATAGGTAACGTAAGATACGAGGTGGTTCGGGGTGGATCATTTTTTATATATTTTTGTTTCTTAGTCAAAAAAGGGGGTTGAAACCAACCTTAAAAGTCCCGTCTGTTGTTTTTTTAGCCCTAGTTGCCCGTTATCTTGTATTTGTTCTCTAACTATGCACCTTTGCCAGTAGCGTGGCGTGAATTGCGATTTATCGATTGTTATGCCATTTAAACCTATGGTAAAGAATCAATTCTTAAGGTGTTCGCTGCGAACACCCTGTTCATCGATACTTTTCCATAGGTTTAAACGTCATAAAAATCGATATATCGCAATTCACGCCACGCCACTGACCTTTGCCCTCGACAACATCCGGCCTTGGAAATTACGGCAGTATTTCCGCATGGTGATGAATGTGGGTATTAGAACCTGGAAAAACGTCTATTTAAGGGGCCTCTGGAGACGGTTTTGTCTCAAATGCTAATTTTCCTCGGGTGAAGTGACGCGGGCAGTGAAGCACTGGGCAAGAAGTCACCTCGTTACCCAGAACCGGCATTACTGGATGCGTAAACACGCGATGCCGTTGCGAAAAAGCGCGCGAAGGGAATGCCGTTGCCCCGTTGCCGTTGACTGTTGAGTTTTGCAACTGCGGTCAGATGTGTTACAAATAAGTTCCTCATTCATCGGTGCGGTCAACGGAGGATAAACACCGACCCAGCCCGAGCGGGCGGGCGCTGTTGCATCGAAAACCTCGAACGTCCAGACGTTTCTCGCGGAGTCCGGTCAGATTCGCTCGATTTGGCAATCCTCGATGCCTGGTGGACTGTCGCGGAGTCGCGGCTATAGGTCACTAGGTGTGGGCCAACATCGATGCCTTGTTTTTATTGCAAGTGCTCTAGTTATCGTTGCTTTGTATGCAACGCCGCCCGTTAAACGCTCACTTCGACAACTGGGTTGGTCTCTCTTGGCACTACTCCTCAGATCGCACCAACTTGCTGTGCCACCTGGCTTCAGGACCCACCGTCGCTTGTCGCTGGTGAAAAGTTAAAATTTACCATTTCTGGAGTTGCCACAAAGCGGTAGTACACAACGAACCGACATGCCACCGTATTGTTCATAGAGAGGGATCTCTCCGGCTGGCATAGCATAGATGATGAAACTCCCAAACCAAGCATCTCGGTTTGTGACGTTGCAGACTAATTGGACGTATTTCTATCAAACGGAACTATGTGCATTATGACTAGAGCCCTGTTGTGCATATATTCATATGGGTCTCAGGGCTCATGTCTTAATGCACTTAGTTCCGTTTGGTAGAAATACGTCCAATTGCCTCTCTGTATTCTCTAAATTCAAAACTATTCATGAGCGGCAGTTTTTAAAACAACTGCTGTGGTTTTTCTTCTCTGTGCAAAACAAAATTCTGTTTAAACTTCAAAAAA